TCAGTCTGTTTCTCTCCTGATGGAAATACATTAGCTTCTGGTAGTGTAGATAAGTCTATCCGTCTATGGGATGTCAAAACAGGATAATAAAAAGCCAAATTAGACGGTCATAGTGATTAGGTTAGATCATTCTGTTTCTCTCCTGATGGAAATACATTAGCTTCTGGTGGTTGGGATAAGTCTATCCGTCTATGGGATGTCTAAAAAGGATAATAAAAAGCCAAATTAGATGGTCATAGTAATTAAGTTAGGTCAGTCTGTTTATCTCCTGATGGAAAAATATTAGCTTCTGGTAGTCAAGATAACTCTATCCGTCTATGGGATTTAAAGACAGGATAAGAAATTTAATCCTCTGATAAAAACTACAAAGATATTTTTCAATAATTTAAAATACCACTTTAGAATAGTTCATTATTACCAAATGGTATTTTTTATTTATTATTTTTTAGTTGAGCCAGATCTTACTATACTTAGGATATGTTAGAATCTTTAATTTGAAGCAAGAGGTACACTTATCTTGTAAGGAAAATTTATAAATCAATCAGGTATAGATTTAAAAACTTTGTTTAAATAAAAAGAAAGTTACTTTTTAGAAGACTTATAGAAAAAGTGATTTTGATAATTATCAAACAACAATTATCATTACAATCAATATCTAATATATTTTTTAATTATATCTTTTTAATTCATTCTTAATCTTCACTTCTTAAGGTAAGTAAGTTCTTATTTTTCTAAGTTAATTTCCATTTAAGGCATATATAGGGATTATTATTTATTTAAATATCATATAACTGTTATCAATTAATAATTCTTGAGATTTAATTTTAAATGATACAACTTTAAAATAATTATTTAAACAGAGAACATTAAGCAAAATGAAGACATTAAAATAAAGATCCATATAATTACTTAAAGAAAACTAATTTTACATTATATTCTTTTTAAATCATCTAGGATATAATATTTTTTAGAGTAGGGATTGATATTAAAAATAATAAATTAATAATTTTGTAAGATTAAGTTTTAATTCATAAATATTAAAAGATTTATTTTATCAAAAAAGATTATAAAAAGATACTTCAAGAATTCAAAAATAAACTTAATCTTATAAATAATTTAACCTATCACAAGGTTAAAACATTGAGATTGAATGATTTTTGCAATTACTCTACTCTATTCTTGCTAATATCTTCATATCCTCTTCAATTGGTATGAAAAGGATTAGATTTTATAAAAGACTGAAAAGATTAATTAACCATTTAGAAATACGATATCTATGAGAGGATGATGATTTACAGAGATAATTATACCTTCCCTAACAACCATGTAATAATCTTAATTACTGATTAACTTAAGCTCAATTTAAATTTTACCATACATCCAATAATAAACATATATAAATCACTTAGATTATGTATAATCATGGATTTACATTAATTAAGATATAGAAATAAATAGTTCCTCTCATAATTTTTAGCTTTAAAAACTGTATCTATTTTATAAACTCATCATCTAATTCAATTTCACAATTAAATTTATTCATTATGAAATTATGAAGTTACCCTAAAATTATATTAAATAATCGCCAAGATTGGTTACTGAATTATACATATCCATAATATGTAATTCCAAAATAACGAATTTTTTCTTCTTCTCTAAAAAAATGAAATTAACTCCTAAAATGAATTGGATAATAAATTTGTAGAACTAACAATATATTAAAAGTGAAATATCAATGATAAGAATCATAGGCCTCATGTGAATGTATAAGAATATTTTGTTATGTTACAAAATAATTTTTCACAAATATACAATTTGTTAATTATAAATTAAGAATTAAGGTTTATTAAAATATTATAAAATAAAAGATCTAACGTATCAGGTGGTTATATCTGTTCATTTACAAGCAAATAAGATAATAAAAAATAGTAAAGGATAATGCATATTTGACAATTTTATAGATTGTATTCATAATATTAATTAATTATTATTTAAAAGATCATTAAATTATGATTTTTTAATTCTCATCCTATATTAAAGCATGTCCATCAATTTTGGCTTTATTTTTCTTTGTGCCAACTTTGATAATTAATAATTTTCTCTCTTATAATTTTAGAAAATCCAGAAAATTTGAAAGTTTTGAGAAATTCACAAATAGATTCCAGGGTTAAATGATTGGAGATTAGTAATTTATTCAAAATTTGATTGAGGACTTTGAGCTTCAATTGTGCCTATGTCAGCATTATCAATAATAGCCCATTTAACAAAAACAAATTTAGATAAAAATCTTCTGTTCTTCGATTTGTACGTTAAAGTAATTATATGGATCACCTCCAAGAAGGGAAAATGCATAAAAGAATTATTTTCCAAAGAATTCTTCAGTAGTTCCAATCTAGTTGAAATCATTAAAGTGTTTTAAAGCGAAAGAGATACTTTGCAACCAGTTGTCACAACAAAATGAATTGTAATTTCCATAAAAATAATTATTTAAACCAAAACCATTGGTGTAATCCATTAAATTCATTTGTTAATTAATCTAAAATATTAAATTATAAAATTACTCTTGTTAATCCAAGTTAAACTAATTTTCCNAAGTCTATCCGTCTATGGGATGTCTAAAAAGGATAATAAAAAGCCAAATTAGATGGTCATAGTAATTAAGTTAGGTCAGTCTGTTTATCTCCTGATGGAAAAATATTAGCTTCTGGTAGTCAAGATAACTCTATCCGTCTATGGGATTTAAAGACAGGATAAGAAATTTAATCCTCTGATAAAAACTACAAAGATATTTTTCAATAATTTAAAATACCACTTTAGAATAGTTCATTATTACCAAATGGTATTTTTTATTTATTATTTTTTAGTTGAGCCAGATCTTACTATACTTAGGATATGTTAGAATCTTTAATTTGAAGCAAGAGGTACACTTATCTTGTAAGGAAAATTTATAAATCAATCAGGTATAGATTTAAAAACTTTGTTTAAATAAAAAGAAAGTTACTTTTTAGAAGACTTATAGAAAAAGTGATTTTGATAATTATCAAACAACAATTATCATTACAATCAATATCTAATATATTTTTTAATTATATCTTTTTAAGTCATTCTTAATCTTCACTTCTTAAGGTAAGTAAGTTCTTATTTTTCTAAGTTAATTTCCATTCAAGGCATATATAGGGATTATTATTTATTTAAATATCATATAACTGTTATCAATTAATAATTCTTGAGATTTAATTTTAAATGATACAACTTTAAAATAATTATTTAAACAGAGAACATTAAGCAAAATGAAGACATTAAAATAAAGATCCATATAATTACTTAAAGAAAACTAATTTTACATTATATTCTTTTTAAATCATCTAGGATATAATATTTTTTAGAGTAGGGATTGATATTAAAAATAATAAATTAATAATTTTGTAAGATTAAGTTTTAATTCATAAATATTAAAAGATTTATTTTATCAAAAAAGATTATAAAAAGATACTTCAAGAATTCAAAAATAAACTTAATCTTATAAATAATTTAACCTATCACAAGGTTAAAACATTGAGATTGAATGATTTTTGCAATTACTCTACTCTATTCTTGCTAATATCTTCATATCCTCTTCAATTGGTATGAAAAGGATTAGATTTTATAAAAGACTGAAAAGATTAATTAACCATTTAGAAATACGATATCTATGAGAGGATGATGATTTACAGAGATAATTATACCTTCCCTAACAACCATGTAATAATCTTAATTACTGATTAACTTAAGCTCAATTTAAATTTTACCATACATCCAATAATAAACATATATAAATCACTTAGATTATGTATAATCATGGATTTACATTAATTAAGATATAGAAATAAATAGTTCCTCTCATAATTTTTAGCTTTAAAAACTGTATCTATTTTATAAACTCATCATCTAATTCAATTTCACAATTAAATTTATTCATTATGAAATTATGAAGTTACCCTAAAATTATATTAAATAATCGCCAAGATTGGTTACTGAATTATACATATCCATAATATGTAATTCCAAAATAACGAATTTTTTCTTCTTCTCTAAAAAAATGAAATTAACTCCTAAAATGAATTGGATAATAAATTTGTAGAACTAACAATATATTAAAAGTGAAATATCAATGATAAGAATCATAGGCCTCATGTGAATGTATAAGAATATTTTGTTATGTTACAAAATAATTTTTCACAAATATACAATTTGTTAATTATAAATTAAGAATTAAGGTTTATTAAAATATTATAAAATAAAAGATCTAACGTATCAGGTGGTTATATCTGTTCATTTACAAGCAAATAAGATAATAAAAAATAGTAAAGGATAATGCATATTTGACAATTTTATAGATTGTATTCATAATATTAATTAATTATTATTTAAAAGATCATTAAATTATGATTTTTTAATTCTCATCCTATATTAAAGCATGTCCATCAATTTTGGCTTTATTTTTCTTTGTGCCAACTTTGATAATTAATAATTTTCTCTCTTATAATTTTAGAAAATCCAGAAAATTTGAAAGTTTTGAGAAATTCACAAATAGATTCCAGGGTTAAATGATTGGAGATTAGTAATTTATTCAAAATTTGATTGAGGACTTTGAGCTTCAATTGTGCCTATGTCAGCATTATCAATAATAGCCCATTTAACAAAAACAAATTTAGATAAAAATCTTCTGTTCTTCGATTTGTACGTTAAAGTAATTATATGGATCACCTCCAAGAAGGGAAAATGCATAAAAGAATTATTTTCCAAAGAATTCTTCAGTAGTTCCAATCTAGTTGAAATCATTAAAGTGTTTTAAAGCGAAAGAGATACTTTGCAACCAGTTGTCACAACAAAATGAATTGTAATTTCCATAAAAATAATTATTTAAACCAAAACCATTGGTGTAATCCATTAAATTCATTTGTTAATTAATCTAAAATATTAAATTATAAAATTACTCTTGTTAATCCAAGTTAAACTAATTTTCCATCAGCACTGACTTACACTATGCTAAGAACATCAAATTGTAAGGTTCAGGTCCATTCCAATTCCATTCACGAAATGCATTCAATATATATTTTCAATCCTGATCCATTAAAGTAGTTGGTGAAAATAGTCTTTAATTTTGATCTGGTGCAGTGCTAAGGAAGTTCAAGACTCCAATGTTAAATAAAGGGCACCAATATCCATTCTATTATTCTTATCTATTGTAAATTAACTGCACTTGGACAAAATATGAATTATTATCAATAGTGTAACCTTTTTCACCATAGAATCTACCAGTCTAATCTTCATTTAAGAAGTTAACTTAACCAATGCATTCCATTTGACTACAACCTCCATACCATACTAACTTAGCCTAATGTTGATTCTCAAACTAAACAGTAATGCATTAAATTCACAATTTTAACATCTTGAAGATTTTACCAATTTTATAGAAGGAACAAAAATATATAAAGTTAAAAAAAGGAATTTAATAAATATTATTTGTTAGGAATTGTAGCAGGTATTAAAATAAATTGAATTTTCTACTGTTAATTTGTATATTAAACACAATTCAGTAAAATGTAGAAGTGACATCAAAAATACATCATTACTCAAAAAAAAAAAATATAAGAAATATACTTTAAGTATATATTTATAATTTTCTAAAAAATAATAAAATGTCATTGTTGCATTTTGTTTACCAAAATACAACATCTTGATTTTAATAACGATCTTAAATCGTAGCCTTACTAATTAATAAACTCTCCATTTAGGACAAGAGCTTCTTTAGCTTAAAAGATTGGTGTTTAGGATATACAGAGAATAGGAATAATAGTGTTAACTAAAAAATATAAATACTAAATACCTGTAAAAGGGTTGTTTTATAACAACTAAATCGTGCAATTTTCCAATATTTCGTTATATCGATTATTTAAGTCTTTAATTTCTTATCCTGTTTAGACAGCCCATAAACGGATAGAGCCATCTCCACTTTTAGAAGCTAATGTATTTCCATCAAGAGAGAAGCAGACTAATCTAATATCATTAATACTGTTTTAACATCCCATAAACTGATGGAGTTATCATGATTAGAAAAAGCTAACGTACTTCCATCAAGAGAGAAACAGACAGGTCTAATAGAATCACTATGACCATCTGATATAGCTTTTTATTATCCTGTTTTGACATCCCATAGACGGATAGACTAATCACCACTACCAGAAGCTAATGTATTTCCATCAGGAGAGAAGCAGACTGACAATATACCACTAGTATGACCATCTAATTTGGCTTTTTATTATCCTGTTTTGACATCCCATAGACGAATA